TATGGTGGCTCACACCTGTAATCCCAGCACTTGGGAGGCAGAGACGGGTGGATTGCCTGAGCTCTCAGGTTCAACACCAGCCTGAGCCAGAGCAAGACCTCATCTCTAAAAATAGCCAGGTGTCATGGCTGGCACCTGTAGTCCCAGCCAGTTGGGGAGCTGAGGCAAGAAAATCGCTTAACAGCTTGGTGCCTGTGGCTCAAGTAGCTAAGGCGCCAGCCGCATACACCTGAGCTGGTGGGTTCAAATCCAGCCCGGGCCGCCAAACAACAATGATGGCTACAACAACAATAAAAAAAAGTAGCCAGGCATTGTGCTGGTGCCTGTAGTCCCAGCTACTTGGGAGGCAGAGGCAGGAGACTCACTTGAGCCCAGTAGTTGGAGGTTGCTGTGAGCTGTGATGCCACAGCACTCTGCCCAGGGCGACAGCTTGAGGCTCTGTCTCCCAAAAAAAAAAAAAGAGAGAGAGAGAGAATCGCTTAAGACCAAGATTTGAGGTTGCTATGAGCTGTGATGCCACAACATTCTACCAAGGGCAGCAAAGTGAGACTCTGTCTTAAAAAAAATAAAATAAAATAGAAAATAAAACCTCCTTTCTATGCCCCAGGGTCACTGGCACATCAAGCAAACCATAACCCAATACCAAAACCATGCCCTTCTGAAATATCACCTGGTTGTAATTAATAATTTCTTATGTGTTTAAACGATCTCAGTGTTTGCCAGTCACTTCTGCATCTTTCATCTCATTCAGTAATCACAGTAGCCCCAGAGCAGACAAGTCGTGTTCTACCCACTTTACAAACAAGGAAGCAGACGCTAAGGGGGACATTGCCCAGGACTACATGGCAATGACAGCACAAGGCTGGGACTCGAACTCTGCTATTCTGGTGCCAAGTACAGTGTGTCCACCAACCACAGCCTCTAGACTGGAAGCCCGCACTTAACTCCCTCTTGACGTTTATGGGTGTTTGAGGGGTGGGGGTGCAGCAAATGTTTTCAGTCCTCTGACACGAACCTAGTCTAACGTACAGGTGGCCAAGGAGAGGCTATAACATGCTGACTTTTTCATTGGCTTGGGCCTTGTACCTTTTACTTCCAAGAATTCTGGTCCCAGGGGCTGTTGGTGGGACAGCTGCAGGTTTGTGATAGATCTAAATAGGTCTTCTGGAAAAGCACATGGGTGCAGTGCAGTATTGAGGGACCCAGGGGACAAGACACTACAAAAGTGAGTGAAGAAAGGCCGGGGGCGGGGGGGTGGTGGTGAACCTGTGGCCTTCTGGATCCTTGAGTGCAGCCTTTTGATTGAATCCAAATTTTATAGAACAAGTCTTTTTTTTCTTTTTTTTTTTTGCTTAATAGACATTTATTTTTGTTACTAATACTATCATTATGCTCATTTTTGATTAAATCATAACTGTGTATATTAATGCATTTATGGGGTACAGTGTTCTGATTTTATATGCAATTTGGAATGCTTACATCAAACTGGTTAACCTTCACCTCACTTAGTTGTTGTGCTAAGACATTTATACTCTACTCTTACTAGTTTTGACATGTACCCTTGCATTGTGCACATTAGGTGAGGTCCCACCAAATACCCTCCCTCCTTCTGTCCTCCCTGTCCTCTCTCCTTTCCCTCCTCTTCCCTCTTTCTTTCTGGACTATAGTTAACAAGTCCTTTTAATAAAGGGATTTGTTCTGTGAAGATTGAATTCGATTGAGAGGCCGCACTTGGGGATCTGGAGGGCCATGTGGGCCTTGCGGCCACAGATTCTCCACCCATAGTAGAGTCTCCTGAGCAAACAAAATCTATCTGTTCTCTCTGCTCCAGTTTTCTGTTCCTACTGAATGCATTCGCTATGGGGCAGCACGTTATAAACTGTAGAGTGCTTACCAAATGATCTAGAGCCAAGCAGACCTGGCTTGGATCTCAGCTTCTGCACTTTTTAGCAACATGGCCTTAGACAAATTAATCGCTCCAAGCCTCCTTCCCTTCACCAGCAAACAATGGCAAAAAAATAGATTCTTTCCTTAGACCCTTCAGAAGGAGCAGAGGCCTGCTCGCCCTGTGATTTCAGCCCAGTGAGACTCATTTCAGACGTCTGCTCTCTAGAACTGTAAGATAATACATTTCCGTGGTTTTGAGTCACTAAGTTTGTGGTAACCTGTTGCAGCAACCGTAGGAAACAAATACGTCTCTGGCAAGAGTGAATGTTGAGAGGACGCATATAAAGTGACTAACATAGAGGTGAGAGCAGCCCAAGTGCCCACTGAATGGCAGCTTTTGTCACTATTTCATTATGTTAGAAGGCAGGAGGAGCGGCTTTCTAAGTTATTAGGTTCCATTGATGCCAAAGGTCTAAGGGAGAAAAAGAGAACAAAAACAAGGAAAAAAAACTGTAAGAGCCCACAAATTCAGAACACCTTGCCCATCTGTGTCTCCCTTCCTTCCCGCACCCACAGCCGCGCTACCTCCTGGCATTTCCTCCCATGCCCCTGTCTCCGTCTCCACCAGTGATGCTTTCTTTGTGCTCAGAGCAGGCTCCTCTCTGCCTCCTTCTTTTTTTCCCTTCCACTCTCATCTGCATTTTCTACCCTAATTCTGACTCGTGCAGTTCTGCAGAACGTTCCTGTGTCCTCTCTCCTTGTCTAAACTCTGTGCAGCAGAGTTGTCCTGGGAAAGGTCTGTGTGTCCTGAGTATCATTGGTCACTCAGGCCACCTTCCTTGTTCAGGGCCCTTTGGCTCCTTTCTGGACTAAGAAAGGGCCCATTGGTGGTCAGTCTACCCAACACTCTCCTTGTTTCCTTCCACAGCCCCACTTTTTCCCCTTTTTAGCCATTTTTGCTTCAAGTCCATGTTCCTGTTGTCACACTTTAAACTCCATGAAGGAACAAATTATCTTCTTCCTGTTCTTTAATCCCAACTAATCACCAAAATAGGCTGATCCCTGACACCTGGGTGTATAATCGGAGCTGGTGGAAAATGGTGCCTCTCCAGATTTCTGCCCTTTCCTCTGCAGACTTCTGTTATCTGAACTTCCAACTCTCACGGCCTATTTATTTGTTTGTGTAGTTGAGATAGTAACCCAACTGGTCAGGGATAATGTACATACCCGTAGTGAACTTCACAATGTGACTCAACCAGCCCCATGAGTAAGGCCCTCCCTCTGGGGAATTTGTGCATTAACTCCTTCCGGGCACTAAGCCTCTGCTCAGTCTAATTCTCTACAGTTGCTGGCGAGAGTGAATAATATTTCTAAGCAGAAAGAAATCAATGGTATTTCTCAGCGGAAACTGCTATGCACAGGAATCTTGTAATAATGGCCCAGATTCTTTTTCCATTATTTCAGCAATGACGGAGTATCCGCTGTGTGGCAAATTCTGAACCAAAAAATACTCATACATTTTAATTCAAACTGCCACAACTACTCAACGGGTAGGGGAAAATATTTGGAGATGTGTAAGATTACTTGGAAGGTTATTAATACTTAGAATGTAACAATGAAGTTAAAATTTACCAAGGCCTGAGTCAAATAGAAGCCTTGCCTCCCACAGATTCCTTACACGAACTGGGACTTTGGCCAACCTGGCCGGTTTGCTCTCTCGCGGACACCTCGCTCTTCTGTCTCCACTCCCTAACTTCCCCTTTTCTCTTTACCAGGAATGTTGCCCACACCTAACCGATTCCCGCACATTCCCACCTCTATTTCTCAAAACCACACACATCCTCCTTCCTTGGGACGCCCGAGTATGAGGGTCTTACCACATACATTCTATTTGGGAATGGATCTTGGCTTCCCTACGAAAGCAAAAAATCCTAGACCACGACAATCCCCCCTAGATATCTTTATAATGCTCTCTAAACAAAAATTATTTCATTTAATATATTTTATTTTTGAGCACAAATGCATGAATTGGTTAATTAATCAATTAATATAATGTTGAGAAATGTGGATTTTTTTCTCAAGGTGTTTCAAGCGCGGAAACCCAAGTGATTGACTCATATACTTGCTCCTGTGTTCCTTCCAGAAAATGCTCAGGGATATGAGAGAACCATGTTCAGCTATGCCTGGCAACTAAGCCTGCTGTTTTCTGGGATGGCACTCGGTGTGGGCTGCAGGGAATTGCTTGGGCTCTGGAGTCCCACTGACCAAGATCTCCAGCCCAATTCTGCCACTTACTGGTTGGGAGACCCCAGGAAACTTAATTACCAATTTAGCTTTAGTTTCCCAATCTGTAAAATGGAGACTTCTCACCTCTTTTCTTTTCCTATCTTCCTTTTTTTTTTTTTTTTTTTTTTTTGCAGTTTTTTGGCTGAGGCCAGGTTTGAACCCACCACCTCTGGTATATGGGGCCAGTGCCCTACTCCTTTGAGCCACAGGCACTGCCCTATCAGTCATCCTTTTTTCTGCAGTTCATCTCTTATAGGACAGGGGTTTTTTTTAATTTGCCATTTTTTTTGAAGATAAAAAATAATTCAGAAAATAATGTTTTGTTTTGTTTTTTAGAAAATAATGGTTTTTAACAGCAGGCCATAGTCCATATGGGAACCAGCCACCAACACTTGCTATGTGTTTTCCCCTGGGGTTTCAGTTTGCTCTGGCCGAGGACAGTGAGGGCCGTGCCGGAGCCCTCGGGGTGCCCAGGTCCTGCCCTCCATCACCCGTTCAGGCAGGTCTGCTCCTTATGCCCTCACTGCCCTTGTGGGGCTCAGCCCACCACTCGGAAGTATGGATTCTGTACAAACCACTCCTGAAGGAACTCCTAAAAACACTGATACAACTCTGGAAAGCTTTGTGTTTTCTTTTCTATAACATTTCTGTGATTACTAAGCTCAGTAATCAAATTTTCTCCATTGCCGAATGATTGTGTGACTTGGCTTGGATGCTTTGGGACATAGGAAAACAGTAAACAATGGTGTGATGTAGTCCTGGTATGGAAATTCTAGCCGTATTTGTCACCCAATCCCATTGAATTATAATGTTCTCAACTGTGACCTCAGCTTGTGGAAAATCCTGAAGATGGCCAAAGATGACTCCACCGTTCGCTGTTTCCAGGGTCTGCTGATTTTTGGAAATGTGATTATTGGTGTAAGTAATAAGTATTTCTCAGGAAATTCTGCTTGGCCTGTAATCATGACTCCAGATTAATCAAAAGCAAGAGTTTGAAGGGAAATAATGCTGCACTTACCAGCTCCCTACCTCATTCTTCATTTTTAGAATTGTGCTAGTAAATATGCCAACTAGAATTTAATATATATATAATTATATTTAACTATATAATATGTGCAAAGATCACAGTTAAAAGAAATAGGTATTGCCCTCCCAACTTAAAAACGCAGCATCTAAAAAAAGTCATGTCAGCCAAACACTTTGACCTCACACCTACTTTGGTGTTTCCTATTTTACCCGGGGTTGAGTTCCATGGGACTCTGGTTAAGGTTTGTTGGGACAGATGTTTCATCTTCTTGTTCTCATACAGAGGCCTGTGAGAATGGCTTGGAGGTCAAGCTGTGTGGCCATGGTGGAGTGGGAGAGCACTTGTGTGGGAGTCAGGAGAGCTGGCTCTTGGCTCAGCCCTGCCTCTAACTCCCATGTGACTCCGGACAAGTCATCACCTTTCAGGGCTAAGATTCCTCATCTATAAAATTCAGGCATTGGGAAAGATAACCACCAAGGTTCCTTCCAGCCCTACTGATAAATATGACCTGGACCAGCTCCAATATTACAACCCAGGAGTTTGGGCAGTGAGGCAGTGGGGGGTGGGAGATTATCTTCATACAAGAGGGCATCATCTGAATGGTAATGACCCAAAAACATTATGGATAGTCTGAAATGATCTGGGTCTTTTCCTGCGTAGACAGAGTGACATGTGGAAGAAGGTATACAGCCAGTTAGTAGAATGCTAGTAGCTGTTTGATTTCCTGGCAATGGGGAGTTTAAGTCAGTTGCATAGAACAGGCAAGGCAGTCAGTCTCTCTTACCTACCCCACCCTCCACCCCCCTTCCCCAAGCTGTGCTCTGGCTGCCAACCTGACATAGCCCCCCTTGGCCTGCCCCCAGATGTGCGGCATCGCCCTGACTGCAGAGTGCATCTTCTTTGTATCCGACCAGCACAGCCTCTACCCTCTGCTGGAAGCTACCAACAATGATGACATCTACGGGGCTGCCTGGATCGGCATATTTGTTGGCATCTGCCTCTTCTGTCTGTCTGTCCTAGGCATTGTAGGCATCATGAAGTCCAACAGGAAAATCCTTCTGGCGGTAAGAACTTACAGCTCTCTAGGGCTGCCTCCTGGATCAATTCTGATGAATCGTTTCTTCCTCACCAAGCATAATGCTTGGCCTTTCGGTGGGGAAGGTGTGAGCAGCAAGGGCCAGGTGAGGGGAAAGGGAAGACTCTCCCTGCAGTGGAGACTGTCCATGTGGGGACAAGGATGTCCTCCCCTATTGCAAGTCCAGAAGACCCCAGTACAGAGAAGGCAGAGGGCAGACACCTTAGGGTGACCCTACTGAATATTTTCCGGATCTGCGTTCCTTTAGATGGTGTCTAAATGTACCCAACAGGTACAGAAGCTATATAGGCCGAAGGAGAGACAGAATAAGAATTTGTTGATTTTTTTTTCTCTTGACAATAAGTTGTCTAAAATTTGTGAACGTTAGTCAGGCATTAATATATTATGATATAAAAAGACAAAATATGTATGAGCCTTTATAAGGGAGCATAAGCCTTTCAAATATTTTGAGCTCAAAGTTGATGATTTTGCATCATGGCCTATACTTCCGCCATGGTCAGTCACTCAGCTCTTCTGGAACCCTGGAAAACCTCAGTAAACGCCACTGTAAGGGTTCACCTTCAGCTCTCACCTGCCTGTGGGGGCTCTAACTCTGTGTACCCACAGAGAGCTTCTGCCCCGCCTACAGTAAGATCTTGCCCTGCCTTTGCAGAGGGAGTGAATCTACAGTCAGCAGAGCTGGAAAACCTCAGTGTTGGGTTGGACCCTGGTCCCCTGTCCCTGTGCTCAGGGAAACATTTCTCACACTGTGATGAGACAGCACCAAAGCTCGCCATGCCTGAAACAAACCTCTGACCCAAATGCTGCACGACTTGAGTTCCACCTTTATAGAACCAGTCCAGCAACTTAAGGTGCTTGTTGGTTTACTTTTCCTTGAGCTGTTGTCCTGGTACCCGGGGAACGCAGAACATTGACATCCTCTGGTTTCTTAGGGTGAGTTAGTTCTGGGGCAAAAGTATCCACTTTGGGAAGGCAGAAAAAGAAATGTAGAGAAAAGGTCAAAGACAGCAGGTGTCCCTAAAGACATCTTCACTGGCATCCCAGCTTCATTTGGGGCCAGCTGTGGGCATGACTGACCGCCCGGAGAAGTGAGCAGGGGAAGGACAGAGAAAGCAGTGCCCCTCCAAGGGCCTGCAGGAGAAGACACCTCACACTGTGCTTCCCTTCTGCAGCATCTGTAAAGGGCTGGAGCCTCTGTGAGAGGGGTCAGCGAAGCTCGGGGATGGCGGCCAACACAGGAAAGAGGGGTTGGGGGCCTCTGACGGTGCTGCCCCTTTGCTGTTAACTCTGCAGCCACAGCCATCTTCTGTGCAGTGAGCACAGCAGACGGTGCTGCTCAGAGCGTCTCCCATCCCCAAGGAGGGAGGAGTTATTCCTGGCTTCCCCGGTGGCACTGCCCATGAAGGACACGAGGTCTGAAAGTGTATGTGCAAGGCTGAGGAAGGCCAAGAAGGACGTCTTGCCACCAGTCCACATCCCGGATGCAGAAGCCATTTGCTGCTTATTTTCCAGCCAGAAATAGGAGCAGTGTCACGTGGTGGCATCACGCGCACACACACACACACACACACACACACACACACACAAACACGCCTCCACACCACGAGCTCCATTTCACTCACCTGAGCGGGTGTAACTGGAGGGCGCAGTGAGTGAGAGGAGGACGTCAGCAGGTGGCGGTGCACCCGGGGCTGATGAGGCCAGATGCGTGTTAGGGGGACACAGGACGAAACAGGAACCACTTCATCTTTTTCTGACCTCTGCGATTTTAAAGTTTTAACATTTGAGCTTGCTATAGCAAGAAAGTCTAACCGATTCTGCTGTTCTCTCTTGGTAGGACAAGCCGTTATATAGACGTTAACAGTGGGAAAAGATAAAAATTAAAAAAGTAAAGTTTCAACAAACCATAAAGAAAACTTCTCCCAATTAGAAGGGATTTACGAGGTTCTACGTGGTGTGTGAGGCCCTAGACTCTCCTGCCAGCCCCTGAGCACACACTCGCGTGTGCACACACATATCAGTTCGTTCTCTTGTACTTGTTTTCCCCAATTAAAATAAAAATTCAACTGGACTGAGATAGCTCTGTATTCAATGGCTGTTTGTTCTCAGGAGAAAAGGAGGGAGCTGAGCTGACCAGCACCAAACTCCATTCCAAGCCCCATTCCAAGCCTCTGATCACTGAGGGTTTGTTGAGTAACTTCCCGAATGACTGGATGGTTATATTTAGACGCATGTGCTGAAAAGTCATAACACGCATTTGGTAAAGTCTCTCCTTGTGGGTAAATGTAATTCTTTCTCCTCATGTGTTTCCTTTTCAGTATTTCATTCTGATGTTTATAGTGTATGCCTTTGAGGTGGCATCTTGTATCACAGCAGCAACACAGAGAGACTTTGTGAGTATAACTTTGAAAGCACAGAGCAAAATGATCAGATGAATTATCAGTATCACAATATTAATAATATGCAGTGACATGGATTACACTCTTGCTATGTGCCAGGCAATCTAATATACGCAGTAATAATACATACGTGATTTTACTTAATCCTTATAATCCTATGAAATAGGCATTATCACCATTATTTTTAAACCAAAAAATGAGACCAAAATGTAAAGGATTAATAACTTGTTTAAAGTTATGTAGCTAGCAAGTGAAAGAGCAAGAATCTGGGCCCTGACAGCCTGACCCCTTTGCATTTCACCTCTCTGCCAAGGGCATGTCCACAGTCTGCCTCAGCCCAGACTTGCTCTCAATTCAGCAACTTTCTCTCCCTTCCTCTGTGTCCCTACCCTAAGCAGCCCAGCAACAATGCCAGCTAGTCTCACAGCGATTTCTCTGAAGATAGGGGGTCTCTTCCCAAGACGAGGCTTTCCCCCAGCCCAAGGTAGCACCATTCAACTGTACTTGGTGCCTCTGTGTACATTTTGTCCAGGAAAGGATGTTTTCTCCCTAGAAGCAGGCCAGGAAAAGTATTTTCCCCTCCTTGGAGATGAGTGTGTTAACTCTTCCTCTATGTGGCCTGCTCCCACCATAGTTCACGCCCAACCTCTTCCTGAAGCAGATGCTGGAGAGGTACCAAAACAATAGCCCTCCAAACAATGACGACCAGTGGAAAAACAACGGAGTCACCAAAACCTGGGACCGGCTCATGCTCCAGGTAAGGCCCATGGTGTTGGGGACGTGCCATTTTTATTTATTGGTAGGGGAGGGGGATCGTTGTACACATGACTCAGTGGGGCCCCTAGATCTGTATTTTATTTCAAACCATCATGCTGATTATTTTACATTTATAAGAACAATGGCATTGTCGGGAAAGCATTGTCAAAAATGTAAGGTAATCCCATACTCTGCCTCTCAGAACTCAGGTTATCATTTACATTAGACAAGATCAGGCATGTTTGAGGTTATCATTTACATTAAAAGAAAAATGTCCTTTCTACTTCACAGTGAATTCAAGTGGCAATCACTGCCTGTTTTCCCTTTTTGGTACTTTTTCGCACCTCCTCTGAGCCAATCCTAAGAACCAGGAGCTATGACTTGCTTTGAACCCCCAACTTTCTCTCACTTGCAATCATACCTTATGTCTAGGTTTATCTCAAAACACTATCACAAGTCCAAGTTTCTCAGATTATCCATCATGACCCCCACATCGCCCTGTGTACACAAATTTGTGATCCTTATGTGAATTTGAGTCTGACTGGGCTCTCACCCTGGCCCCGGCTCCCCTCCCCAGCTCACACCAACTTTCACCATCTGTCATGAGTACTCTCTTCCAGCCTCCACTCCTCTGAATGCTCCTGCTTCATCAGAAATCTGGCTGTCGCCTGGTGGCACCGCCTACCCTTCACCTTCTCATATTTCTGCCATACCCATGTGCTATAGACCTGGACACTGGCTAGGTGCCCTGCTTGCTCCCTGAGCTGCCATCCTATTTCCTACCCACTTCAAATGCTTGAAGTTCACATCATCAGTGTCTATCTGCCCTTACCCCCCCCCACTTGCCCTCATTTACCGGCCTCCTACACCCAGTTGTTCTCCTGCCTTCCTTAGAGATTTCAATATCACATTTGCTGTCCACTTCTTTCTCTACACATCCTCCTGTCATCCTACCTTGAGACTTTAACATCCACATAGATGACTCAGCCAACATCTGGTTTTATAGCTTCTTCCCTGCCCTATTCCAAAAATCTTATCCTCCGCCCCCTCTCAGCCACCCTCTTCCAGGGCCATAGCCAGCATATCATCACTAATAACTGTGCCACCTAAGAAAATCCACTCTCTGACCACTATCTTCTATGATTTCTTTCATTTATTCCACTATCCCCAGTGTAATTTTTACCCCATCAGGACTCCACTTAATTGGCCACATTTGTATTTTCTATCACTCTTTTCAGGTTCTCCTCCTTAGCTAACCAGTATTCGAGTCCTGACCACTGTCAGCCTCCTTTGCCGTCCCACCTGACTCTGGTCATCACTCTTTCCTAACCAACCCCCACTGCAGTTGAAAACAGCTTTTTGCCATACTCTCCATTTAAGGGCTAAACAATGCTGGGAAAAGTCAAACAGCCATGCTATTAACAATTTCAAGTCAAATTTTAGAACACAAAGCTAAAATGGGCGCTCAAGCTTTCTTGCTATCCATTCCCGAAAAATTCACTTGCATGTTCTTCCCTCTCTTCACACCCGCAGGACCCCTCCTCACCCTCACTCTCAGCCAGCAGCCTGACCTGAGATCTTACTGGCAACTAAACAAGAACTATCTCCTTCTACCACCAAATCTGCCTTTGCTCTAGTTATGACAAGTGGACTCCCTCCGTCCAGGCCCCTGACATCTGCTCTGCCTTCTGTCCCCTTTGCACCGACAATCTTCCTGCTCTGAGATGCCTCATCGGTTTCTCCCTTGCATCATCCTACATGAACACCTTAAATCGGCCCCATCTTTTCAAAGAACTTTTGTCCAACATTCACCCATGATTCGGTTACACTGTGTTCTGTTTCATTTTACAGCAAATCAGAAAAGAGATCCTTACATTTACTCCCTCCACGTTTACACCTTTCATTCACTTTCATCCACCTACGATTGACCTCTAACCCCTTGACCCTACAAAATGACCCTTATCATAGTTGACAGTTACTTCCTCCCTGTGAAATCCAATGGTTAAGTTTCTGTCCTTACCTTTCTTGACATCTCATCAGCATTTGTCACGTTGCTCGCTCACTCTCAATCTCCTTCGCTGTATTTTTACCCTTTTCCAAAATCTGAAGGTCAGAGCGCTGCAGAGCTCCATTCGGGAATCATAACTCTCTCTCTTCCTACTTAAATCCTAGTCTCAAATAAGCCTAGCTCAAACTTTCCCAGAACCCTCATGTCAAAATACAGAACGATTATTTTTCCTGGGTAGGTATTGCCCATAGTCCAGTGGTAAAACTGGGCATCCTTTAAGATGGCTGGTTTGTTGTCAAGTCTGCTTGGATACCTTTACTCCAAAAGCCGAGAGACACCTGTAGGTTTACCAACTTCCTCCCTTTTGAAACACTTTAGTATAATTTATAATAAGGAAGGAAAGTGATATGAATTGTGTTTTATCCTCTATACTCAATTCTATCCAGAGCGTAAGGATATCAGTTACTTGTTAACTGATCTTTCTTCCCATGTAGAGGCATAGCTGTGTGCCACCAGATTTTTGTTAATTTTTTTCCAGTTCATTTTCTCCCAATATAAAAGTCATACATAATTACTCCAGAAAATTTTTAAAATATAGAAAAGTAAAACAAGAAGAATTATGCATAATTTCTTCACCCCTAAAATTTTTAATTTTCTTATTCTCAATTTGCTTATGTGCTATCAGAATAATTATACCTCTCACATTGTTGTATCAAGGTATTAGTACAGTATTAATAATAATTAACATTTATTAGGGTTTACCATGAGCCAGGCACTATATGAAACACAGTGTATTAACCCCTTAATTCTTACAAAATCTCTATGAGGTAGTTACTATATGTATAAACAGTTTTACAATTAAGAAAAAATGAGGCTTGCAGAGTTTAGCAAATCAGAGGTGACAGAGCTCATTAATGGCTAGTCAAGTAATGAATGTGGAAAATATTTCATAGGCTCTAAAATGTAAGTTGCCAACATCTGCAGCTCCTGTTTCGGGATTTTTTAGTAAACCTCAGATATGGTACGCTTTCCATATCTTCTTTCTGTATAAAATCTCACTTGCTACCTTGACGGCTCTAGTAAAGACCGGGAAAGGGAACTTTGTCTCTCTCGTCCACCTACAGGACAAGTGCTGCGGTGTGAATGGTCCGTCAGACTGGCAGAGATACACATCTGCCTTCCGCGTGGAGAACAATGATGCCGACTACCCCTGGCCTCGTCAGTGCTGTGTGATGAACAATCTCAAAGAACCTCTCAACCTAGACGCTTGCAAACTAGGAGTGCCTGGTTATTACCACAATCAGGTGAGTGTGCTCTAGTCCCAAAACCTGCCGGAAGGTTCTTCTACTCTTCAAAGACAAATCCTGGTCAGCTGTAGGTAAACCCCCCGTAGGGAATTCTACATTCTTTCTCCTAAGCCTCCTGTGAACTGTCTTCTTCTCTGCCAATAACCTGCAAACCCTAAACCAGGACTGATCCAAGCACATTTACATTTTAACAAAATTAACAGAGCATAAGAATTGTAACAGCAAATTTCAGCTTTCTTTAAATAAAACAATCTGTACTAAGTGTAGAATTGGTATGTCAAGAAATATTTGCATTAAACGAAGTTTTATTCGGTCTATTTTTGCAAAACATACCTTGGAAGGGACGATACACAAAAGGAATGTTTTGCCTGTTTCAAAGCCATGGCAATCCCTGAGGGTACATACAGTAGTTATAAATCCACATTCCTTACTTAGTGGTATTGTAGGAAAATCTTAATAAAATGTTATGTTGGTGATTTGGGTAGAAGGTAGTTTACACACAAATGGTTCTTGAAAAAGTGTTTCCAGGCTGATGAGGATGACATGATTATGATCAGGAAAACGAACATTTGTCCAGTACTTCCTGAGTGCCAGGCACCATTCCAAGTGCTGTACCTATACTAACTCCTTTAATGTTCAAGAGTAGGTGCCAGTAGGATTCCTATTTTACAGATGAGGAACAGAGACATAGAGATGCTAATGAGTACCGTGCCCAAGGTCGCCTAACTAGTTAACAGTCAAGATTCAAACCTGAGCAGTCAGGCTCCAGAGCACAGACTCTAAGCCAATTAGGACCTGATAACAGTTCCCAGTGCCCTGATGAGAACCCCACACACCTGTAGCCCGTTATCTGCTGACACCTCACCGAAAGGCTGCCCACTGCTCTGGGAGTTACCCCTTGGAGGAAAGCTAGTTGTGTGCCGGTTTATTCAATAATTGAAAAAAATAAATAAAATAATTGAAAAGTGCCAAACCCTTTATTTTGGGAATAAACAATAACTGCACTTTCAGATTGACAGCCACCTGACACAAAGCTGGTGCTCAGTGTTCGGTAGGTGGGTAGATGAAGAAGCAAACGGGGGCGGCGCCTATGGCTCAAAGGAGCAGGGCACCGGCCCCATATACTGGAGGTGGTAGGTTCAAACCCAGCCCCGGCCAAAAACTGCAAAAAAAAAAAAAAAAAAAGCGAATGCCCCTGTTTTCCACGTGCATATCACAGCTTTTCATGAACTACTGTGCTTAAATGTGCTTCCATAGCCACAAAGAGTAACGAAACATTAGAGAAGTCATTAGTGTGGCAACAGTAGAAACCCAGCAGAATTTCACAGAGTGTGTCAGATGCAGATGTATAGATTCTACAGTACTTTCTGTTACATTCCATTCCTTCTGTAGTTGGCATTGTTGTTTTTTAGCTGGCACGGGACGGGTTCAAACCTGCCTGCCTCGGTGTATGTGGCCAGTGCCCTACCCACTGAGCTATGGGTGCCGCCTTCCATTCATTCTGTAAATGTTTAATCGGTGCCTACTAGGGACCAGGCACTTGCCCTAGGAGGTTCTAGGGATTCAGCAATGAACAAGGTGAATTCCCCACCATCATGGAGTTTGCACTCTATCATAGTGTGGTAAACAGACAATAGACCTGTTACCCCACAAAGACATGGCCGCACTCCAGAGGGTGATAAACTGTCCTGAGCAGTGTGAGTATAGAGAGTAGGATGGGGGAAAGAATGTTTCTCTCTGTGTAGTTATCAGGACAGGCTTTGCTGAGATGTTTGCAGAGGTCTGAATTAAGTGAGGAAATGAGGCACTGGCAGACTGAGGAAGGGAGTTTTAAACAAAGGGAGAAGGGAGTGCAAGGACCTGAAATGGGAGCAGTCTTAGTACTTTGTAGAAACGTCTAGGACATCAGTGTGAGGAGGCCAGTGTAAAAGATGAATTAGATGGAAGGGATGGAGCTAGATTTTTGCGGGGACTGAAGCCTATGAACTTTGTAGGAAGTTTTTTCCCTCCTTAGAAAAACAACTTTGAAAGATGCATACAAAATTAGGTACAAAATTAGGCCTTGAAATGATCTTGCAAGTAGGGTGCTGTGAAACCCCTGTAAAGCTCATTAGCTTTGCAGTAAAACTGCCTGTGGCGATTGAAGGAGGGATTAAAGAGAGAGCAGAGCCATGTCATATAGTGCCTCCCAGACCAGGGCGAGGACTTAAAATTGCATGTTTAGGGTGGCAGGAAGCCATTGGAGGGTTCTGAGCAGGGGTGTGAATTGATCTGATTTATATTTTACAAGGATGTCTCTGGCACCAGCTGAAGTCCACTAGGGAGCCCAGGGTGGACCTCAGGTCTCAGGGAAGCCAGTCAGGAAGCTCTCAGAATAATCCTGGAGTCAGCCCATGGTGGACCACAGTGGCACCAAGATGTGATAAGAATTGTTTGGATCTGGAATATATTTGTGAATTAGACCCAAAAGGATTTGCCTAAGTGTTGAATGTCGGATGAAAAACAGTTGATTAAGGATAATCTCATGATGTTTTCATTTGAGTATCTGAGTGAATGGAAGTGCCTGTCATGTAACTGGAGGAGGGTAAATGAGGGAGAAACCAAGGTGTATGGAAGGTGGGGCCTATTAACTATTAACAGGGGAGTGGGACAGGGGCAAAAAAGGACAGAACCTCAAGTAGCCACTAGAGGGAGCCTTCAAGGCCAGCCTTTCTAGGACATAGGCTAGAGACCTCAAGGTCAGTGGAGGTTGGAGGAACCAGCCTTGGTCATTGTTTCCTGGTCATTGCCTGTGACTGCCAGCACTGTAGGGGAGGTTGCTCAGACGGCAGCTCTAGCCCTATATGTGTGTACTACTCCAGAACTTTGCATAGCAACTAAAACAGTGTGCTGTGTTTAAATGCTTACTGGATTATGGCATGCATGCATGAATGATTTGATAAATAAAAACTAATCACTTTTTTGTAGGCACACCATAACCCTTCAGGGTCTCATTAGAATCCAATAAAGAAACGCTGAAGTATGATCTCAAATGAGAGCTCAGGGGGTGTGATGCAGCGCAACAGAGGACCCTGGGTTTTGTAGCCTAGAAACATTTGTATTTAAAAACAAACCAAAAGGTAACTCTGCCTTCAAATAAATCACCAATAAAATCTTTGAGGAGAGAAAAAAAATTCTGATTTTATTAAGAATATATTTTCCATGTATTCAATATTGAAAGATAATTATGCTAAAATAGCAGCACTTTTTAGTGAGATTAATACAGACAGAAATGTGTTATAGAATAGTTGTTCAACAGTATTATCTGTGTTCCCTCAACAAAGCACTCTTAGCAGCTGGCTGTCCCCAGGGATGCAGAAATAGCCTGGTTATGTGAAACTGGACTTTGAAGTGGCATTGATTCAAATACCTTCCTATCCATCTTTTTTTCTGGTTCTTCTCATGGCAATGTGGAATTGCCCCCTCCTCCAGGGCTGCTATGACCTAATCTCTGGACCAATGAACCGGCATGCCTGGGGGGTCGCCTGGTTTGGATTTGCCATTCTCTGCTGGACCGTGAGTATTTCCCAGCAAATACTTTGTTTCTGAAAGGATGATGATTAAGAAAAGATCTTGAGATTTCCACTGGTTACCTCAACTACACTAGAAGGTTTAGAAACAAACCCGCAGGCCTGAAAGAAACTTCTGGCAGCAGGGCTAGGACAGTGGATTCCTTTGAGAGGGAGAGGTAGGGTGTGCCCTCCTAACCAGGCCCTTCTGGTTAACTTGGATGCACTTGCCTTCTGGGGCTGGACAGCCTCTTTCCCTGCCCAGACTCTGAATGCCAGCCTGCTCCTCCAGATCCCCAGATCTAGTTAATTCATTACAGTGAGATAACAAAGACTTCCACCTACCTACCCCAGTGGCTCTGCGCTGACGCCTTCCAAAGAGCTGACTGCCAGCCCCATCGTTTCCTGCTGTCCATTTCCCCTGACACACACATCCAGCAAGAGATTATAGCAGAGGGTGCTCAGCCCTGGCTACACATTCAAACTTCCTGGAGAAACTTTACAAAAAAAGTAGTTGGACCCCAACATCTGAGGCTCTGATTCAGTTGATTTAGGGGGAGGACCCAGCCCTTTTTCCTCCCACCAATTTCAATTTACTATCAGAGTTGCAAACCATTGCATCAGAGAAACAGTCCCAGATTTTTAGTTTTGGTACACATGTACACTCTCACAAATTACTGAGGACGCCAGAGAGCTTTTGTCTGTATGGTCTATGTCTATTGATATTTACCTCATTAAACATTAACATAGAAAAGTTTTAAATATTGGGTGGCACCTGTGGCTCAAAGGAGTAGGGCACTGGCCCCGTATGCCGGAGGTGGCAGGTTCAACCCCAGCCCCGGCCAAAAACTGCAAAAAATAAATAAATAAATAAATGAAAGTTTTAAATAGTAATTCCTTTTAAGACAACAATAAGCCAATTACAAGTCAACACAAATAACATTTTTTGTGGAACAATAACTATTTAACAAAGTGAAAAAAATGTGAAAAGTAGCATTGTTTTACATTTTTGCAAATCTCTTTGATGTCCGGCTGCATGGAAGACAGCTGGATTTTTCCCATTTGCTCCCTCACTCGATACGTTGTGATATGTTGTGATATGTTGTAATATGTTGCCTAGATTGAAGGACTTAAAGAAAATATGTCTTTCTCATTGATACATAATTGTAAAAAAATTGTGCTTGAATAGCTATATCTTAAGATAATTGTGAATATTCTTTGACACTACATATAGGTAGTAGTTTCTTAAAGGCCAGTTGCAATATGGAATCTGGAACGGAGTTAATGAACTTTTCATACTCTGTTACATTAAAATACATTACACGAGTTTGCCTTGCCCTTTGCACAGAGTTTTTAGCCATGGGTAATTCAATAACATCATGAATTGGTAATTTGGTAAAATATTGGTTCACCATGTTGTACAGATCTTCCAAATGTTGGCTAATCTCTTTGTGCAATGCCAACAAGCCATAGTCATTAATATGGCCACTTTGGAAAAGACCTTAAGCAATGGGATGCTATCGAGTTCATTGTGAGTTACAAGTTTTCCGAAGTTCTGATTTTGCTTAAAAGCTCAAATTCATCACTGGCAACTAATATTGCCAGTTGTTTTCCTTGAACTGACAGATCGCTTTGTACGTTTTTGACAAAATATCTGCCACACCCTCAACTCTGAGTAACCATAGCTTGTGTGTGAGCCATTTTTTCCGAGTAAAAAAGATGTTTCACGAGGGAAAAAATGGCTAGTTCAGTGCCTAACTCAATCACACGGTGCTTTTCTTCAAGCACATCTCAGTATGTAACAGGACTGCTTTAGGTACAGTTCCTTTTTGTCGTGCAAAGGGAAAAGTTTAGTAAAATTAGTTCTTACTTCTTCCTTGAGGACAATCTCAAGTGAGACTGTCTTTAATTTTTTTTTTTTTTAACTGCAAGTGCATAACAATGAGGAATGTAACGATCCCTGACATAGTTCCATGCCGCGGCCTGGCTTCTTGCTAAGACTCCAGCAGTTTAAACTTCCACTTCTTTTGCACCGTTAGTGTAAAAGGGTGACCAAAGCAAGGTCTGAAAATTATTCAAATAGTCTTGATATCACACGCCCCTGCAAGGGTTCCTTGGGTGTCTGTTTACCACATCTTAAGAAATGCTGGTTAGGGGTGATGAGCTGAGGCAGGAAGGAGAGGGACATCAACTTCTGTTATGATTCCTCAGTCCACCCTCTTAGAGCTTCCACAGCACCCTGTGGACATCTCTCTCTCTTGGAATGACTCCACAGTGATGGATCCGAGCCTACAGAAGGCTGGGAAAGGGCTGTTCTTTGTCCCCCCACCCCACCTGTGCCTGGCATAGCACATAGCTCAGTGGTGGGTTGAATGAATGAAAGATGATAGCAGTGGAGTTTCCATTCATGCCAGACTAGCAGGAAATACAGGATAATGTTTAAAGGCTCTTGAGTGTCTTAGAACTCCCAACCAGTTGTAACCCTCAATGTTTCCACAAGTTCCCCTTGAAATTCAAAAGCACTGAAGGCCTGCTATGGACAAGGCACCATGTAAAATATTTTTAATATTAAGTTCCTACAACAGTAGCTAGGCAGACAGCCAGTCTCTCATCTTACTTGAAACAGAGAAATTCAACAGGGCTCTGAAGAATTGTGCTTGAGAAGAGCTTCTAAGCATGCTCTGTTCACTACTGCCTGCAAAGGGCTTTCCCTTGGTGGTGAATTGGATAAACTCTGCAGCTGACTGCCTGGGGTTGGATCCCAGCTCCACCACTTACTAGTTCTATAACTATAGGTAAATTATTTCTCTGCTTCAGTTTCTTCACGGAGTTTTGGAAGCACCAACTTCAGTTATAAACGAGTATGTAGCACTTAGAACAGTGCCTGATGTATAAAGTTCTAATAAACATTAGACCCCATTATTATCATTTCATTATCTCATTCATTCTTCTACCTCTGGAGGAGGCATATGAAGGTGTTATATTTAAATTAAATGACTTGCTAAGGTACCTAGGAGTAAGTGCCAGATCTGAAACAACAAAGCCCAGATATTCTAATTCTTTGCGTGTGTCAGATATCTTGAATTCTGTGGGATTTTTGAGGGGCAGCCGTTCCAGGTCACAAACACGTTAGGAGAAATGGGAAGTCCCTTAGTAGGAATAGTTAGATATTTAGAAGCAGAAAACCCCTACCTCAAAATGGGAAGGCACTGGAAGGTAATTAGCCTTGATGGGAAGAATAAACAATTTCCCCAATGGACTAGTTTAGCACAGACTGAAAAGGGCAGCACCCCCAGAAGACAGGGAGTCTAGAATGGGAATTGGGGTCAGAAAGTGGGAATAGAGAAGTTGCCTCTAAGTGGCAGGAGATAAGTGATACTTTGGGACAGAATGGACTTGGTGTCGCATCAGGCCCTGTGATGCTATTGAAGGCAGATTACTCTTAAAAATCTACTGTCACCTAAGCCTGTATAAACCCAACATCACTTCTTTCCAGGTATGAGATGTTTGAAAACAATTTCTTACTTATTTTTCTTTGTCTCTTTTTTTTTCCTTTGCATTCTAGTTTTGGGTTGTCCTGGGTACCATGTTCTTCTGGAGCAGAATTGAATATTAAGCACAGAATGTTGTCACCATACCTCCTAATGACTCTGGATTTGGTACTGGAACCCGCTCACTCCTGGTATCCTGCGTTTGTGCTCCACACACAGTAGCACACACGTGTCTCCCTCAAATCACCAGGTCGGGGGGTGTGGCCTCTCAAGCTCCACACATTCTCATGAAGAGTCTTTTCATCTTGGTCTAGAGTTCTGCAACATTTTTATAGACTGTAGGAAGGAGAGGATTTGGAAAGTAAATAATAACTCCCATGTCTGCTTATTTTTACTTTGGGAATATAAAGACTTCAAAGAAACTGTGTTATCACAATAAGCCAGGATTGGATTTCGATAACACATTTGCCTGTATTTCTCATTGTTTGCTAAAAAACCCTTCCAAGCATTCCCTTTATTTTGGTATTGTTGGGGGAAGGAGGAAGCAAGAGAAAAGTTGCTGAAATTCATCTTTTGCATTCGACAGTGGCTCCCACCTTCAGAGACGGGGGTGACTTCCCTGATGCTACCTTCAGATCCTTTTAATTCTCCAGTACAATCTTTCACCTAAGTTAACAATGATTCCGATTTCCTCTCATACCTTCCAGACTGATGTGTGCTTAGTAGCCTCAATTCTCCATTAATTAAAAGTTAGAGGACTTTTGAAGACTAAGGAGCTTACTGTATACTTTCTCAGTCCTTGCCCTGAACAATCTCAACTTGAAACACCTTTCAAACGGGCAAGTAGACCTGTCAATAGAATGGGGTGATTTATGAGAATTTTTGTTTACTGTCAAAATATTTCTCTTCTGAACTATGTTTCCATTTGTAGCCCTGAAGGAAGTTCTTCTAACTCAATATTTGTCTATTCTAACAAATAAAGAGGGCTTTACTGTCTGTTCAATTTCTTTCATTTTTACTAGTTCCGTAACTGGTCACGTATGAGTCTACCAAAATGGAATTTCCGAAAGTGGAGATGTAAACTGCATACACAGGGTGGGATTTCCAGCTGGATACCAGATAACCCTTAATGCAGCTAAACAGTTGGAACTCCTGCGTCTACTTGTACTTTTGCTCCCACTCACCGACCCCATAAGACATGGTTGAGCTAATGCTCTTCAGATCCTTTTCCTCCTGCACTTGGAAGCAATGGAAACACCTGACTCCAACTGCCAAATGCTGTCCCTTATGAAGAAAGAAAGAGCACCTGTCCGGTGGGGGTCCTACTCCCAGCAAACTCAGCACAGGGAGCACTCCCACCCCATACCCCACCCAGGTTCCTGTGAACTAGGCTGAGCAGGGATGAGGGAGGAGTGGAGGGTACACGCCTAGGGTGTACCTCGTGGTGAAGCTGGGGCAGGAGCCACATCCCTGATTCCTGGGATAGGCATGAAGGTCCACATCCTGACAGGGCACAACCAGCTTGCCCCTCCCCTGCCTCACCTGTCTCTCTGGGACAAAGATGTCTTGGAGTATCAAGACAGATGACACCAGTACTTGTCTGAGATGAGAGGAGGGGGCAGAAACTTACTCTGGGCAAACATGAAGATGACCGCTGTCCCTCCCACATGCTCTCAGGCACTCTGTTGCCTTCTGTTCCCACCACTCACTAGGTTTTCTAGTGCCCTTGTGCTCGCCACTGGCTGAGCAATCTTGGCCTCAAACTCACTCCTCCCTTTCCATCCAGGGCCTCAGTCTCCAAAATTCTCTCTCCACACAAAATTCTCATCTCATGGCCTGGACGTGGGGGCTCCCACCTGTAATTCTAGCACTCTGGGAGGCACAGGCACAAGGATCTCTTGAGCTTAAGAGTTGAGACCAGCCTGAGCAAGATGGAGACCCTATCTCTACTAAAAATAGAAAACTTAGCCAGCATCCTTCGTAGCAGGCACCTGTAGTCCCAGCTACTCAGGAGGCCGAGGCTGAAGGATTGCTTGAATCCAGGAGTTTGAGGTTGCTGTGAGCTAGGCTGATGCCATGGCAATCTACCCAGAGTGACAGAGTAAGACTCTGTCTCAAAAAACAAACAAAAGTTTTCTTCCCCTTATAATTGGATCTCAGCTCAGTCAAGGGAGATTCTTTTTGGAAATGAATTCATACTAAATGAGAGGGACAACTAGTCCCCATGCTCTTAATCTCTATAAGTTTTTCTCAGTAACTGGAATTGGTCTCTGGTTAGTGGAATCCAGCACAGTTGTGGCCGCAGGAAAGGGCTAGATGAAGCCAGATGACACCTGCTGCTCCTTAAATCTGATCCCCTGACTTCCTCCTACAAGAGAAAGGGTCTCAGTAGCTGCTGCTCTCTGCCGCTCTCCGACCAGCTTCTCACCTGAAGCCTCAGCTCCTCTCTCACAGAAGGTACAAATTCCACTACAGATGGGGACAGGCTCTACTTCCAAAACCAAGTGAGACCCTGAGCCCAAGTACCTCCTGTGTCCAGGCCCCCACCTGTCCTCAAGGAGGATATTTTTAGCTGAGACAGAGCCGAGGCCTATGATCTCCCTGAAGGGTCCAGCTATTCAGGACTTCCACATGAGGCCGCAGAAGTCTTTAGATCAACTTCAGAGCAGTTTCTTTTCTGTCTGGTTCCTCCATTCTCCTCCTCCTTCCTTGGATGCCCTGTCTTACCCCTCTTCCTTGGAGGGGACTGGAAGTGGGGCTCACTGCAAGCCCCGGGCCCCAAGCCACTGCTCAGAAGGGCCCAGGCCCCGCCCTCCAAGGTCAGGAAGGTGAAGGAGAGCTGGTAGGTTACTGGTCTCAAACCCATCTTGTAAAACTTCCCTCTTGTCCAACTGTGAGCTGCTTATCAGTGGACAAACAACAATTACTATCTAACACCAAAAATGTGTTAGGCTAACATAAGTTTCAACTGATCGCAACAGCAGGGGTCTTCCCGCTCTCTGGTTGGCCATCTCCTGCCACTCCTGACTCCCAGTTGGCCCATCACATTTAATGGTAGCAAGCCCCCGCTCCTATTTGTCAGCCTTCACTTGTCTTTTCCTACGTCAGCAGGAAGAAATAGGAAGTGCTTCTATTTTAAGCAGCAGATCAGAGACTTTCTGGCTACCCCTAAGGAAAAGAGTTTAGTCAGGTGAACTTGAAAATCTAATCTCCTCTCCACCTCACACCTCCACCCCAACCCATCTGATTGACCAGCTCTGCTGTCTGCTCTAGAAGAATTAGAAGCCGCTGGTTTCTCATTTCTATTGACAGAACAATTTCCTTTCTCCTCCTATGTCTAGTATTTTATTTCTTCTGCTTTCTCTTTCTGGCTTTTCCTCACCCCCATCTGACCTCCTAGAAATGAGACTGAGGCACAGGAGAAACCCAGGCTGGGTGCAGTGGCTCACACCTGTAATCCCAGCACTCTGGGAGGCTGAGGTCAGTGATTGGCAAGAGCTATACCCTGTCTCTACTAAAAATAGAAAAACTGAGGCGGGAAGATCACTTGAGCCAAAGAGTTCCAGGTTGCTATGAGCTATGATGACACCAAGGCTCGCTACCCAGGGTGAGAGAGTGAGACTCTGTCTCAAAAAAATAAAAGCGAGAAAGAAGAAACCCAGATGAAACCAGTTATAGGTTACTGAGTTTGCTTTCACGTGTTATCCTAAGATTCAAGTGGCCACATCCAGTGAGGAGATCCAAACCATCTCGGAGAGAGGCAGCCTGCTGAGAAACGGACAGCTGCCAACCCTCCAACCCACACACCCCCAGCCATATCTTCAGGAGACAGACAGCCAAATCCCGGGATGACAGAGAAATGGTGCTGTCACCCCCAATTTTCATGTGATCTCAATCCCAAGTTCCTTCTGAAAAAGAACAAAAGAGCAGCCCTGACATTCAGAAGCTTGTCTGGCACTCAGATGAGCCTCACCTATTTTCCTGTTGGGCATAAACAGTCTCACACAATACCAACTCCAGATAAAGTCCCTCTGAGACCTTGATAAAGTGAGACAAACCATTTTAAAATTTTGTTTAAGCACAGACAAAAACTGTCACTGTGCCGCTCACAAAATGCAAACACCTATTGTTTGTATTGACTAAAATGAGTGACACTTGGTCTTCCCAATTACAATTTTTCTCTGGCTAGCCTCCTTCCCTATAAATAAAATTTATTGAGACTCACATCATGGACTCGCCCCTGCTTTCTGACAGTATCCAATACAGAGCAAACCCTTCCTCAGACCCTGCCCAAATGACCCAACCAAATCCCAAATGCTGTAGTAGGTCTTTCCAACCTTTCCACTCAGTCACTTCCCCTCGCCCCCAGGGTGTGCTCCTGCTCAATGGAGCAAGTCATAATCCCGATTTTTTGTTCACAGTAGGTCTCTTGAATTTATTCCTCCTGTTTAACTGAAATTCTGTCTCCTTTGAACAATATCTTACCCAAATTCTGTGTCTGCAGATGTATCCCTGGGGTTTTTGGCTGAAGGGCATTGGCACTGTCCAAGTAACTCTGCCCATCCTCATTTCCCCTATCAGTTGGCTTACTTATTTCTCTGTTACCATGTGGTAGTTAAGAACTTGAACTTTGGATTCAAATACTGTAATTCTCAGCTGTCACTTAAACTTCCTGGAGCCAGGAAAATGGGTCTCTCCTCACCAGAACTGGACAGATTCAAAAGAAATGAAAAGTATGTATTAGCCTAGAAAAGATATGGAACAGGATGTTATTGCATAAACCTGGTCTGAAGAACTGTGTGGCCCATAACCCCTGAGAACATACAAGCTAATGCCATGTTGCTTCAATTTATTGCAATAAGCTAATGATCAAACATCCTGGTCCACATTTAATAGCCATCAAATAATAGCTGTAATAGTTTTGCAGGAAAACTACTTAATCCTGGAAGAATGCAGTAGGGTCATCAAGGTAAGATATTTTAATGGATACATCTCAAGTTCTTTGAATTATTTCCACAATCTAACCTATAAAATGAGATCTCTGCCCTTACCAAACTCCCAGGAAATCTCCTAATTCGACGTTGTGATTTTCTGGGGGGAAAGCCCAGACAGACTTGACCTGGTCTTCAGAGCCAAGAGACCTGAATTCACAACTTACCTCCTCTTCTGACCAACTTTGGGAAGTTATTTAACTTAAATCTTTTTTCCCTTTGTAGTACACATACACACACATTTTTACACGATGACTAGAAAATTAAAAACCACAAGGAGACTGATGCTAAGCAGGTGTTCAGTTTTTATAACACTCCACCCTTCACCAACCTCTGCTCAAAGCCCCAGAATCTCACACACACACACAAACCCCACATATGCTTCTACACAAGATTTGATATTTGTTTGCATTCTCAACAATTGTCATTGACACATGGAGCTTTTACCTGTACAGGTGCTCCCCGGGGATGGAGCCTCCCAGCCACTCCTGTCAAGCCCTCTCAAGTGGTACAAGATGGCCAACCATATACTAAAATTCACGAAGGTGGCAATACCCTGAAATGTCCAAGGTACTAAGGAACAGACTTTTTTTTAAGTTATGGAATATGACTGGTGACATGTACTTGAATATACTCCACCCTGTGGACCATGTTAATGGCTTTAGAGAGGGACTGTATGTGTACAGGACTTGAAGAAGTGGAAGTTTTGAGTCTGTCAGAAAATGACTTTCATCTCTCAAACCCACTCACAGAGCACTTTGGGGCTCCCAGGAAAGCTGTCCAGTTGGGGCTTAAGTGGAAGTAAGGAAGGTTAAGGGCAGAAACACTAGGAAAGGGGTCTGGAAAACAGTTCAAAGAGACCAAATCAGAACAGAAATGTCCTTTTCCGGATCCTGAAGATATAACCCTCTGTAGGAGTAAGGACACGGATTTGGGAGATCTACCTCAGAGTAACAGTAGCTCAGGGGAAAGCAATGCAGTGTAATTGACTTGAGGTCAGAATTCAGCCCAGCCTCTGCCATTCATGAGCTGTAGGATTTCTGACAAGTCACCCTCCTGTTCTGGACCCCAACTTCCTCATCAGCCCTTCTTGTCTCCAGTCAGTAACATCCATAAAGCATGTGTAAAAGCATCCCAAACAGTAAAGTGCTATAAAAGTGAACGCTAGTGTAGGTGAGAAAAAAACAATAAAACTTTAAAAGAGCACTCTATGGTTTAGATTTCCAAATACTCTGCACTCGTATAATCCTTATCACAGCAGGCATACCGGTCTCTACAACATGGGAAATGCTTGGTCTTTCTGTGGCAATTAACTATTAAAAAAAACTGCACAAGGCAAGAAGGGGGGACATCAGTTGCTTTGAAGCTGAACTCCCCTGCCCAGCTGGGAGGTGAGAGCAGAGGGGATGGTGCACGGCAGGCAGCAGCCACATGCCCTAGCGTCCCCAGAAAGTCACTATTCCCCAACTCCCAGCACAGGGAATATACCATAATGTTGGCATAAAGGCCTTACAAAATTATCTTCCTCCTGAAGAAGTGTCATAACAAGTTGTGTAAGTGACTTGTACATTATCTTAGTTGAAAGATTATTCGAAGTAAGAAGCACAGTTCAGTGGTTCCCAGCACAGTAAAAAATGCAGATGCTGGCTCGGCACCTATAGCTCAACCGGCTAAGGCGCCAGCCACGTACACCTAAGGTGGCGGGTTCGAATCCCCAGCCCGGACCCGCCAAACAACAAT